TTAAGAAATATGTTGAGGGTGTCAGTTGTGTTATGTGTTTTTTACTGCTCAGCTAAGAATAGAACTGTCATGCAGGGGCTTAAAGCTTGAGTCAGTGAATCACCTCTGCCCCTTCCTCACTGTTTTGGGTCTTGTGGATTTTACAATATTGTCATAAAAAGGGGTTACTTCAGTGACCAGGTCCTCATATAATGCATTGACGGTAGTAAAACAATAAGTGTTGTACCATTCGGATATATGGAATTTGAAGTACATGTGTAAATTTTCAGGGATATTAATAATTTTTTTCAAAGCTTAGGGGTTTGACATTATTGATAGTGTATGAACTGAATTTGGCAAAGTGATCACTAACTAATTCGTGAACAATTGATCCTCCGACAGCATTATCAATGAGACCGTGACCAATGACATAATCAAGCCTGCCACCCATGAGGTGTGTGACGTTAGAGGAGTCAAAGTTGAATACGGACATGTTATTGTCTCCTAAGTATTTTACAAAGATCCTGCCATTCCTGTTTGTTTTGGTGTCACCCAGGCTAGTGTGTCTAGCATTAAAATCATCCATGACAATGGTTTGAGAGCTGCTGGTGATTTTTTGAAGAGAAGCTTCCACCATTTGTTCGCACCTTACATATACAATAACTAAATTAATATAGCCGGTCGCTATAGCAATCTGAGACTGCTGGTAATATGGGTCGAAACTTTTGTGGTTTTTAACATGTTTAAACACAAGGTTACTTTTAACATACGTCAAGATACCGACATCATGTGAACCAACACTTGAAAAGCTACATAACCTGAGAGTTTGGGTGGCGTTTTATTTTTTGTGTTTGCAGTGTATGGTTCCTGCAGGCACAGTACATCAATGTTGTTGGCACCAGCGTACACCATTAGATCAAACATCCTCCTTCGCACGCTTCTCACATTCCACATAAGAAATTTAAGAGTGAGTTGGTCGTGGGTAATCTGATGAAGATAAGTATTTGCGAGGTTCACAAGATGCAGACTATTGCGTATTAGTGACAATTGTTCACAGTCATCAATGGTAAAAGAGAGCTCTTTCATCTGTGACAAGATCAGTTGTTTGCCTCCATCTTTCCTAACATTTACAATCATTTCATGTTCATCAAGATTCATAGAGGTACAAGAGGTATTGTTTGTAATGAGTTCTTGTGCGCATTTGCTAATTACAGTTAAGACACTCGGGTTTTCATATGTTACACTCGCCACAACGGTACTTTCAGCACTGGAGGGGGGGGGGGGGGGTGTCAATACTTGCTTGAGACGTGTCCACACTTACATCACTGGAAGGCATTTCACTAGATACTAGGACGTTCACTTCACTCTTCGGGATGTCGAGAGGATCGCTTGAACACTGTCTTAGAGTGTTCATGTTGATCTTAGCATAAATGCTGTTTAGACCATTTTCAATGTGCGTGAGTGTTTCTTGGAGCTTACAGATAGTAATTTCAATTTTACTCATACGAGCTGGAAGTTCTAACACCTCCCTCTGCAGGGTGGTGTCAGGCTTCCCAGGTAGGCGAGGGAAGGATGCCAGGCTGTTGGTGTCAGGAACGGTGGTGGGATCATCGCGGGTGGTGGGGGGGGGCAGGCTGGTAGGTTGACTGGGGTAGTGGGGGGTTGCTCCAATGTGCTGTGGGGAGGGGGACGCTTGACACAGTCCTTGTGCCAGGCGGTCACACCCTCCCGCAAGCACCTGGAACACTTGTGCTTGGTGGCTGAGGATGTGGTTCTATTGGTCCCAAGGGCGTGGTCTATATTGGGGTATTCTTTAGTGGGATGATTGCCTGCACAGTAGGCACAAGTGACAGAAGATTGACAGTGATTGGTTATGTGACCAAAGTGTTGACATTTAAAACACATGACAGCTAAGGACACCCAGGGTGTTATGGGACTGGCTGGTCGGTAGAGACCTTGGAACCTGTGATGTCTTGGGGGTGGTGCCTCATTTTTCCAGACGATGACAATCCTGTTTAGTGGCTTCACCCTAGACCTGATGCGTCTTGCAATGTACACACCTGGTAGTTCTTTCGCATGGAAGATGTCAAGGTCATGTAGGTAGAATGTGACAAGGTACTCTTTGTATCTCCTGGACCTCTCAGGAGAGTCTGCTTTACTGAATGAGATGCCACCCACTTGACCTTGGAGAAGGGCCGAGATGGTGACTTCATAGGACCAGGCTACATAGCTGTAGGGTGAGGCGTGTCCAGGGATTATGAGGTCTATGGGGTTAGCAAAAGCACTACGGACATCACGTTTCATCCAGGAGTACCTCTGGTCGCTGGTAACTACAGATGGAAAAGCAAACCTGGCATATTTATTACGGGCTGCTAGAGGAGGTCGTGGTCCCCCCCCCCCCTTTGTGGGGGTGACAATGGTCATCTTGACAGCATTGCTGGTTTTCCTAAACTGTTTCTCTTTGCATAGGGTATTCTGGCTTCTGTATACAGTAAAATTACCATCAGAGGCTGCGTCATCACTTGAGCTGGTGTCCTCCTCCGACAGGGATGTAATGGGATGGAGTGCTTGTCCGTGCTGTACGTCATGCGGGGAGGTGGCCGAAGTGGACGCAAATGCATCCGAAGCATTTTGGGAAGGGTCACTGTGAGTGTCCCCTGTTACCAATCGTTCGTTACGGCTCGAGACCCTACAACAGCCAGACTTTAAAATGTCTAGGGACACTACAACTGCTGTTGTCTAGAGCAGGTCACCAGTGTATCCCCTTAATTGATAACAGGCATAAAGTTAAATTTTCCCTTAGGACTGAAGAAATATACATATAAATTTTAATATATATATTAACAATATAATCAATATTATATAAAGTACAGATGGACCAATATTTCACTATTAAGCAAAAATCAAAATACTGTCTCTCCCAGAATAAAGATCTACTAATGACACAACAGAATCTCAGACTTAACTCTCACAGATGTTACTCCTCCTGGTCCTTTGAAGCTACTGACCTACATAAGCGACAGCACTATAAATCATAACATTTTCCCCGCGAAAAATTGCCAAAGTTACAAGTATTTATAAAACTTACATGGAGCAATATATTGTGACAAGAGTAATCTTAAACTAACTTAGTAATTGGTTAGAATAATATGTATAACAAAAATAAGGTAATTGTTGCTTTATACAGTAATTAAAATATCACAAACAAAGGGGAATGATGGCATGCCCACCCAGCAACTGACTCTCCCACGAACAATTTGTCAACTCAGGCTCAAACAATTATAATTCACCTATTGTTACCCACTTATGATCATACAAATCGTTAGTTCCCATGGGAACAACTGAGCACACAATGAAAAAAACAATCATTCCCACAATACGTTGGGCCTAACTCCAAACATACAACAATGTAATATATAAACATATAACTGCATAAATATACATACATGAAATTATATATTACACAAAGCACATATAAATGTAAGCATATATAAATGTACAAATTAATTTATTTAATTACATATCTTAGAAAGGTACGTAACATCCCCATTAGGCAGGAGGGAAGTGACTTTAGTTGCCAGAATCACAACATGAAGTGACAAGAAACGTCAGCTTCTACCATAGTGTAGCACTTCCCAGACCTAGAACAACAGTGGCTACTAATCATAATGCAGAAACAAGATGAATAGTTCAGACACCATACAAGCAAACGTAGGTGTATACACGTTCAGTTGGCAATGCTGCTGCGGGTACCTCGCTGGAAGTGTGGTTTCAGCTGGAGTGACAGGTGCTCTACCAGTGCCACGCTAATACCTACGTTATCCACACACACACACTCACAAGCAACATCGTCCATTCGAAGAGACTGAATTTTCACTCTTACACCATTAATGCCTCAGTTCGTCAAAATTTGAGTGAAAAACATTAATTTTAGTACACATATTAGTGAACTCTCGAGTTCATTGAACCCCTAATATGAGTATAGAATTTTCCTCATACAGGGTACTACACCTCTGACAGTACTGGTAGACTGATCTGTATTCCTATCGAAGAGTGCTGTGGGATGCGGTCCTCTTGCGAGTAGCAACACTAGGACATAGCCTGTGTATTCGTACGACACCTCAATAATAATTCTTAAAAAACTAATGACCCTCTAAAATAACAAATGTACGTTCCGCCACCGACATAGTTTTTTCTAGCCCTATTATATAATTTTCTAAGGAAATCCTGTCATTGTTATCTTTACGACAAGCTTTACAACACTGTTGCTGTTATATCCCGGTAAAGGTATTTCATTTCAGCTTATCCGCCTTATTTGCCAGAACATTATCATTGTTATATCAGGTGTTTAGGCTCTTGACTCTCACACTACCTCAATGTAGAACAACCTCCCACCTGAGATGGTCATGGGGGAGATCAGTTGGGTCTCATATTAGCAATAATTGGGTCTTTGGTGTGAGAGGATCGATTAACCATCGGAAGGTGTCCATGGGATTGATGTTGGTGGCTGGGAGGTGCTGGGATTATGATAGTTTGAGTCCATTGAATCTAAAGGGATAAGTCATGGAAAAATATGGCAGATAAGGTTAATGGGGTTAGGAGATGATGGGAAAAAAGGAGAACAAAATAAGTGCTGCAGAGTGTGATAGATCGTAAGGCAACAAGTGTTGAAGAGGCTTGAGGATTTGACGAGAAGAGACATGCACTCCTGGACGGTTAGTAATGAATATTACTGGTACGACTAGGATGACGAGGAGCAATGTGAGTGGAATGACAAGATGGGGTGTATTTATTGTAGGATAGAGTGGGTTAGTTGGAGGTGTGGATATTGTTGGCATAGTTAAGTAGCAGCACGCAGGAATCGGATGAGGAAGAAATTAGTGACCCAGAGAGAGAGAGTGGGTGTGGTGTGTATTTATCTAATAATGTTATTTTAGAAAGGAGCTACATCGTTTGGGGAAAATGTTGGACGGTTGTTAGACAGATGTTGAAACAAATCATCTCGCTCGAAAGCATCCTACCCTGCCGAAGACGCTGACGGAGGGGTCTGAAGGAAGGTTTTGAAGGAGCGCACCAAAGCCATACAGGAGGGATGAGGTGAAGTCCACCGGACGCCCTCCAGCCACCCACTGCCACGCCCTCTGCAGCAGCCACAGGGTCACGCCCCACGCCACCACGCACACCAGCAGCGCTACCCACAGCTCTCCTGGGTGAGGTAGTTGCCAAAAAGTTGATTTTTGTTTTTAGATTGATAATGAAAATTGGCAGTGTTCTGTGTCTCCGATTTACTGTCTGTAATTCTGTATGACTCACTTTCTTTTTCTGTCTCCCTCTCTCTTTCTCTCTCACTCCCTTCTTCTGTCTTTCCCTCACCCTGCTTCTCTCGTTTTCTCTCTCACCACACACAGAAGTCCTCGAAACTGAGGACTTCTTTGTGTGTTTAAGTTCATTGCAGTTGTCTAAGTATGTTACAACTAGGTATGTTAGTGTGAGAAGAGAAGCTGAGAAAAAGTATGAAAATGATATAGCTAATAAAGCCAAGACCGACCCAAAGCTACTACACAGTCACATCAGGAGGAAAACAACAGTGAAGGAACAGGTGATGAAACTTAGAACAGGTGAGGACAGGTACACAGAAAATGACAAAGAGGTGTGTGAGGATTTCAACAAGAGGTTCCAGGAGGTCTTCACAATAGAACGAGGAGAGGTCACTGCGCTAGGAGAGATGGCAGTAAACCAGGCGACCTTGGAAGGGTTCGAAATTACTAGAGATGAGGTTAAGAGGCACCTGTTGGATCTGGACGTGGGAAAGGCTGTTGGCGCAGATGGAATCTCACCATGGGTATTGAAAGAGGGTGCAGGAGCGCTCTGCTTGCCACTCTCCATAGTATATAGTAGGTCACTGGAAACGGGAGACCTACCAGAAATATGGAAGACTGCTTATGTAGTCCCAATATACAAAAAGGGTGACAGACAAGAGGCACTGAACTACAGGCCAGTGTCCTTAACTTGTATACCATGCAAGATGATGGAGAAGATCGTGACAAAACACCTAGTAACACATCGTGAGAGATGAGACTTCGTGACAACCCATCAACATGGGTTCAGGGAGGGTAAATCTTGCCTTACAGGCTTGTCAGGTGACAAAGATTAGGCAAGAAAGAGAATGATGGGCGGACTGGATTTTTTTGGATTGTCGGAAAGCCTTTGACACAGTACCCCATAAAAGGCTGATGCATAAACTGGGGAAACAGGCAGGAGAAACTGGTAGGGCGCTCCAGTGGATAAGAGAGTACCTAAGCGATAGGAAGCAGATTGTTACAGTGAGAGGTGAGACCTCAGATTGGCGAGAAGTCACCAGTGGAGTCCCACAGGGCTTCATTCAGGGTCCACAGGGTTAATGTGGACCTGAATGAATTGTCCAACAAACGGCTATTAAGGTTCAACCCGAGTAAATATAAAGTAATGAAACATGGCAGTGGAAACAGGAGGCCAGACACAGAATACCGAATGGGGTGAGGAAGTCCTTCATGAAACGGGCAGAGAGAGAAATCTGGGAGTTGATATCACACCATATCTCTCTTCTGAAGCCAACAACAAAAGAATAATACTATCTGCAGCGTATGCGAAGCTGGCTAACATCAGAACTGCCATCAAGAACCTGTGTAAGGAATTATTTAGAACTTTATATACCACATATGCAAGACCAATCCTGGATTATACGGCCCCAGCATGGAGCCCGTACCTTGTAAAGCACAAGGCGAAACTTGAAATAGTTCAGAGGTATGCCACTAGGCTAGTCCCAGAACTAAGAGGCATGAGTTACGAGGAAAGGCTATGGGAAATGCACCACACTGGAAGACAGAAGAGTAAGGGGAGACATGATCACTACCTACAAAATTCTCAGAAGAATTGACAGGGGTAAATAAAGATAAATTGTTTAACACGAGTGGTACGCGAACAAGGGGACACAGGTGGAAGTTGAGTACTCAAATGAGCCACAGAGACATTAGAAAGAACTTTTTCAGAGTCAGAGTAGTTAGTAAATGGAATGCACTAGGAAGTAATATGGTGGAGGCTGAATCCATACACAGTTTCATATGTAGATATGATAGAGCCCAGTAGGCTCAGGAATCTGTACATCAGTTGATTGACGGTTGAAATGCGGACACCAAAGAGCCAACTCTCAACCCCAACAAGCACAACCAGGTGAGTACAACTAGGAGTGTACACACACACAAAAGAGAACATAGTTTTAAGCTAAGAAAACAGAGGTACCCGCAAAAATCGAAAATGTTAGTTTGCAAACAGAGTGGTAGACGGTTGGAACAAACTAAGTAAGAAAGGTGGTGGAAGCCAAAACTGTCAGTAGTTCCAAAGCATTATAAGACAAAGAGTACTGGGAAGACAGGACACCACAAGCGTACTCTCAAGAGACTATGGAGTTGAGCTCTGGTTTTCAGTCTGGAGCGGCCTCTCCCGGGTGTAAAGCCTGGGTTGTTGATGCGGGTGAAAGCTGTCACCCATGCTGCAGGTCCTCCCTCTCCACGGCGCTGAAAGTCTTGAATTGAAAGGCAAACGCCAATGTTTCCAGCGCCGTCACAGTGTCAGGTCTTTGTTGCCGAAGTTGAAGGCAACAACGAAAGGTCCAAGGTGCTCCAGCTCCGAAGTTTACCTCGAAGTTGGTAAAAGAAGACACAGGGGATTCCAAAACCGGAGACCGTCGTCGTCGGGGCTGGAGAACAACCCCAGCAAGGACAAGATGGAGATGGACGTTCGATCCCCGCATCTACGGGTTCCAGACAGAGATCATCACAGCCTCCTTTTACCCGAGGCTGGCATCCTTCATGACCCAGCGCAAGGAAGAGTAATAATTATTTATAACAACAATTATTATAATAATAATAATAATATAATTAATTATTACTCTTCCTTCTGCTGGGTCATGAAGGAAGGGTAACTACACTAAAGTAATTACACACTTATTATTCGGTAAAATTTGCTTCTAATAAACCTAATATTACCAAATAACAATATTGACAATGAATACGAACATCAGACATAATGCAAAAGTTTCTCATCCAAATCATTTGAGTGAAATATACCTTCAAAAGGACGTACAAGAGCGAGATATTTAGGCAGGAGCGTGGGCTTGAGAGAGGTGACCGTAAACGGGTCAGAAGGATAGCACTTGAGATACTCAACGACCTTCAGACGGTTCGCCGTTGGTCCAGTAACGGTGCAGAAGTCCATTTGTTCCCGCTGGAGCAGACCAATCATCCCGCTGAAGTTGCCCACAGTCATCTCCACTCCCCAGGTGCGATTTGGTTCCTCATGGGTTTCGAAACTGTGTATCGATTTGGCTTTGTTTAGTTCTTATTCTCGTACATTTATAATTATTTTAGGGAATACATTTATTTCAAGATATATAACTAGAGAGTTCAGAACGAAATAATGCCTGGCCTCGCCACCAGAGGGTGCAGACGTCGAGCTCTGGCTGTCAGTGGTCGTTTGCCGTTGCTGCGTGGCGGTTGCTGTTGGGGGGTGTGAAGTTCCCGCTGGTCGGGGCCCCACCTGCCAGTATGGACGGGGCTGGTACTAGCCGTATCAGAAGAATAGACACAGTGCATCTGGATTTTTCTGCTGATGTAGATTGGCCCGTTGTAGAAGTTGCCCTCCTCGACGTCCTCCGTGTTGACGTCCCCGAGCTCCTGGGCCTAGAGAAGTTGTCGCCCGCCCGTGTTGCGGTGTCGTTCGCCAAGTCACATGTATACCGGGAGTTTGTGGCCCGCTGGAATGGCCGCACGCTTCCTCTTCCAGATTCGGCTGTGTCTGTAGCGATCTCGGATCCCTGGGGGCCCTTGACGTTTGTGAGTATTCACGGCGTGCCGGTGACCTTCCCCGAGGCGGCCCTCATGGCCTTGTTTACGCGGTTTGGGTCGGTGGTGAAGCACAGGTTCAACGCTTTTAGTGCGGGCCGACTGAAGGGGGTCCGGCTGGGTTCACGCACGCTTGTCATGCGGCTCACAAGCCCTATACCGTCCAGGGTCTCATATCGTGGGCTCTCTGAGGACCTTCTATCAGGGGCAGACCCGGACGTGTTTCCGGTGTGGTGCTGAGGGCCACGTCGCAGCCGGTTGTGATGCTCCTCATACAGATGCCCCTTCAGTTTTCCTAGAGGATGATTTTCCTCGCTTATCTGTACGTGTGGACTCCCCGGCGGATTCTCGCTCTGTGCTCGTGCCTGGTGTGGATCCTGCGGCGGTTCCGGATGTCGATACGTCTGGACCGGATGTGTCTGCCCCGCCGGTGAGCTCGGGGGACCTGGGGGCGCCTGTTTCGGACCTTCATCGTTCGATGACTGTGGACGTGCATCCGCATCCGGTGACCTTGGGGGATGCTGTAGGGGTGGTGCCTGAGTCTCCTGCTGGAGGCCGTGTGCTTCCCGGGGCTGACGGTGCGGTGGTATGTGTGTCTCCGCCCACGTCTTCTGCCTCGTCGACTCTGGGAGTTTCCTCGTTGACGAGTACCTCTTCTATTCAGCAGGTTCCGTCGCCATCCCTGGATACCTCACGTGTGCTGACGTCTTCCCTTCCGCCTGTTGTGTCTCTTCCTTCTCCGACTCCGGTCTCCGTTCCTAGTGGTGGCTTTTTGCCCCGCGTTGTTGAGGCTGCTGTTCTGCGTGAACGTGCTGCCCCGATTTTGGGGCCGCCTGTCGATGGTTCTTCTGGGACACCGCTTGTTGGGGGTGACAGCTCCGACGATCAGCAGCCTCTGTTTAAGCGCCGTCGCTCGGCTCGGGGTGCGTCACCTCGCCGGTCGTGGGCAGAGGAGCGGGATGAAATGGAGGATGATGATGTGGCCGACGCTGTGTTGCCTCCTGTGGTGCCTTCTGAGTTGGATGCTATGCCTCCTGCTGGTGGCTCCCCTCAGTGAGCTGTTGCCCCTGGTAAGAGCGACCTTGTGGTGGTGTTGACGAAGGATGTGAAGCGGGGGGCCTCTGCTCCTGTTCTGGTTGGTGGGGGGCTCTAGGGCCCTTGCGGAGCCACCCTCCGCGGGTCTCGGTGCGGTTCCTGACACCCAACGGTGTGCACGCCCTAGTGGGCGGGCCAGTGTGCGGCCTGCAGTGCAGTCAGATGTGCTTCCCAGTGTGCGCCCGTGTGCCCAGCGTCCTCGGGGGAAACCTGTCCCTTTTGTCCTCACGACCGGAGAGGTGCTCGACGGATCTACGGCAACTGTGACTTTTCAGTGTACTGACTCAGTGCATCCTGTTCCTTGGTGCTCTTCTACCATCTGGGTTCCAAGTGCGCAGTGTTTTGTCTCGGGAGTGCCGAATTCGATGCCTCGGCCTACTGCGACTCCTGTGTGTCCGATTTCTGACAGTCTCCAACTTGTTTGGGAGGCTTATTGTTTACGGTTTCCTGCTCGGGAGTACCCGGAGAAGTATGAGTGATTGGTTTATTGGTGTGTTTGGTTTCTGTCTGTATTGTGCGTAATGTTTCCCCGGTGCCTGCGTGCACAGGTGGGTGACCTTGTCTGTGCGTGTGGGTGGTGTGGGTATTGTTCTTGCCCCTGCATGGCTTGTTTTCTTGTATGTTTTGTGCTATGCACTTGGTGTGTGTGTTTGTGTTGTGTTTTATGTTATTTATGTCGTGATATTTATTTGTAACATTCTGTTTGTTGGTGTGTGTGGGTGTGTAACCATCCAGTGCCCGTTTCGGGGTTTTCTTATTGTGCCTTATTTTGTGTGTTTTCTTTCTTGGTTTTTGTTTGTTTCGTTTGCATCCGTGTTTTCGCACTTTGCTATGTTTGTCCTGTATGTATGTATGATTTGTTTTCTATTGTCTGGTTTGTGTATTGTGTAATTCTTTTATAAAAATCTAATTTTGTATATGTATGCGTGTCTGGTGTATTCTGTGTATGGTTGTTGTGTCTTTCCATGTCCGTATGCGTCCGTTAGTTGTATGTCCATTATTATGTTTAATTTTGTATTCGGTCTTATGTCCCTGGAGTTTCTAGGGTCTTGTACTGCAATGTTCTTTTATGCCTGTGTTTCTACTTATGTTTTGTTGTCATATTCTTGTTCTTCTGTTCATGTCTTGTATCTTGTGCTATACTTTGTATATTTCTTTTATAAAAAAAAAAAAAAAAAAAAATGATACCAGGTATGCAAATTAACAGTGAAATGTCTCTCTAAAACTGGGGTCAAACAAGCTGCTGTTCTTAGTCCAATTCTGTTTATCTATTTTGATCCATTGTTAATAGCTTTAGAGCCAGAAGGGTTGGCTGTCGCATAACTAGTATAAAGATTAATGTTTTCTGTTATGCTGATGGTCTAGTTCTATTCACACCTACCAAAGAGGCTATGGAAATTTGTATAGATATTTGAGAGATATAGTGCAGGATTCCACCTTACGTTCATTTCTATAAGAAGGTTGATTTTACCTCAAAGGACTGGTTTTATCGATATCCCAATCTAAAATTACTAGGCGAAGATATTCCAGTAAAGTATTCTGAAAAACATTTTGGGCATATTATATCCTCAAAGGGCTCACTTGTCAATATTTCGGATGCAATTAGAGACCTGAAGGTCAGAGGAAATGTCATCCGTAGCGAATTGGGTCATATTGATACCTGGTCGTAAGTAAAGTTGTTAACCAGTCATTATCTAAGCCTGTATGAATGTGAACTTTGTGACCTACAAAATAATTACCTTTATGTGCCTAATTGTGAATGAAGGAAATGTTCTAGACATACTTTGGGTGTTCATTCTCGCACTCCTTGTAGTCTCGCACCTGGTGTGATCACACCCACACTACAGGAATCATCAGGATAAATGATATCATTCACAAACGAATGATATAATTTTACATGAAGGTAATCACCTATCCATTAAGCTCTATTACTCCTAATGAGAGGCACACAACCGAATTTCTAACGAAATCACAAGAAATCTGGAGGCCCCTCCTGAAGCCAGTCCTAGTTTCCCGTATGACCCCCCCCTCCCCGCTCAGCTCGTTGTCGCCGTGTGGGGGCTTAGTGGGCGGCTGTCGGAGTGTGATGCTCCTTGGGACAGTCCTCTGTCCTTTTCTAGCCTTGTGCTCCTGCTGCCGTCCTCTCCAATTCTGCTGGGCATCTTTTCCTTTTCCTTCTGTTTCGTTTTTCTCCCCCCTCTTCTCCTATCTGCTTGCCGTTTCCTGCCGACCTTTTGCTCGTTCTGGTTCTTCCCTTGGACTTCTTCTATTTTGACGCCCGGGTGCTTGAAGAGGCATACTCTTGCACCCGTAGAACTGTAGTACCCGATGTCGAGAGCGAGGGGAACCTTTTATTGTCAATCCCCTTTCGTCACTGAACCCGATCTCGACGGACTGTCGGTTTCTTAAGGTGGCGTTTGTGGGGCGTATACTCACGACGCACCCCTAGGAGGCCCCGGCAAGATAGGCATTAGCTTCTTGTTGGGTGTCCTGCCTCTAATTGTGGCTCCATGGTGGGTGTGGGGGCACATTCGTGAATGAATTCTTCTTTTCGTAATGATGATAACCCTTGTTTTGGCTGCTTCTGGTTTACCTTCTCAGGCTTGTGGGGTGGGCGACCAAGCCCCCGAGTCAGTCCGTATTGGAAGACCGGGCTCTGTAGCCTCCGCTGCATTGGGCCCCGACCTTGCTCCTCCTTTGGCCTCTCTGACTCCTTCCCCTGGCTCCCCTCCCTCCTCTGTGGTTGGGTCGAGCCCCAAGCCCCCAGTGGTGACTACCTCGTCCCCTGCCGTGGCTCCTTCTCTAGTTGTAACTACTGCGCCTTTTAACCCCTCTCTCTCTGGGGTTTCTCACCGCCGTCTTCGTCACGGCCGCCCTCGCTCGATTCCTTCCAGTTCTGCTACCTATCAAGCCTTGTTTGGTCCCGCTTCGTGGGCCAAATATTTTGATCTCCTCCCTCTTGATTCTGCGCCTCCTGACGATTTCTCCCTCCATCGACATCTCGTTGATTCCGTGGATGCCTCCATTACTTTCAACCCCACTCGTCTCGGTACACGTGTCGTTGCTGCTCCTTCTCAGGATGCTGCTTCCCGCTTGGCTGCCTTATCCTGCCTTGGCGAGACCCCTGTTCGGGTCTCGAAGAACGCTCAGTTGAATGCCAGTGTTGGCACTATTTTGCTCCCGCCCCATGTTGCGACCGGTGTTCGAGACCTGCGCGACTGCCACGACGATATTCGACATATCCTTGCTGCCCAGGGCCATTCTATTCTCCAGGTGGACACGTTTACTCGTCCCCCTCGTGGTAGTCGCCGTCAACCCCTCCGGGTTGTGAAGATTACCTTTGATGGTAGGACCCTTCCACCCTCTGTCATTCTTGCTGGTGCCAGGTGCTCTGTCCAGGAGTACATTCCTTCTCCTCGGCTCTGCAACAAGTGCTGGAGGTTTGGGCATGGTGCCCTCTGCTGTTCCGGGACTGTCTCTCTCTGTCCTTTGTGTGGTGGCGAAGGTCACTCTAAGTCGGAGTGCACTTCTCCCCAGGCTCGTTGCCTCAACTGCGGTGAGGCCCATCCTGCCTTCTCCCGTGCGTGTGTCCATTACAAGCTTGAGGCAGCCGTCCTCAACTTGAAGCACCGGGAGCGTTTATCTTTTCCTGAGGCGAGACGCCAGGTTCGCCGGCTCCCGCCTTACGCTCAAGTCTCTTATGCTCGCGTGTTGCGCTCTTCCTCTCCTCGTCCTTCCCGCCTTCCTCAGACTCACAACCGTTTCCGGGCCTTAGACCCGGATGCGCCCACTGCCCCCTCCTCTGTTCCTTTGGGTTCTCTCCCGAAGGATCCTCCTCCTGGTCCTCTGTCTGGGGTTCCCCTTCCTTCTACCCGGTCTGCCGTGTCTCCTGTGTCTTCTTCCTCGTCTCCCTCCATTCCTCCTTCCCATCCTTCCCCTCCGTTTCTTGACTCTCCCCGCCGCCTGTCGGTGCGGGCTGATGTCCATCGCTCTCCAAACGGCCATGTGTGCTCTCGTTCAGCTTCTCCTGTTGAGACGCTAGAATCCGTTGCCCAGTACGTGGTTGCTGGAACACCTGTCTCTTTACGTCAGAAGCGTAAACCTGGCTCCTCTCCTTCCTCCTCCCCTGCGGGTAAGAAGGTTTCGCTTTCTTCCTCGGCCCCTACTTCTTCCTCTCTCGCTCCTTCCCCTCCCATTTCGGTGGTTGCGCCCCCTGTTCCTGCTATGGAGGTTTCTTTAGCCCCCGCTTCCCTCTCAGTTGCTGCCCTTGCTGAGGTATGCTCCCCTCTTTCTACCCCTCCTCTTCCTGCTGCTGTCCTTGCCTGCTCCTCTCCGTTGTCTCCTCCTCTTCCTCCTCCTCCTCCTCCAGACCCCGCCCGCCAACCTCTGATCTGTTCTCCCGTTTCCTTCCCTCCGTCTTTGCTCAGTTTACCCATGCCCCCTAACCCTGACTTTGCTGACCCTGATCCCGACCCTGATATTCTTTAACGTGCTCTGTTGCTCTTTCGCCTTTGTTTCTCCCCTGTTCTCTGTTTTTGTCCTTTCTCTTCTCGTCGTTGTCCATTCTTCAATGGAACGTTCGAGGTTATTACGCTAATTTCCTCGAACTCCAACTTCTGATTTCGCGGTTTTCGCCCCTTTGTGTCTGTCTCCACGAGCCAATGCTTGGTGCTCGTCCTGGTCGTTTTCGTGGCTATTCCTTTCTCTCCCCCCCCCCCCCCAGCTGTTGCTGGGGCTTCAAATTCTTCTGCTCTTTTGCTTCGTGCTGATGTTCCCTTTGTTCCTTTACTTTTTCCTTCACCTCTCCATTGTTCTGCTGCTCGTGTCTTTGTGGGGAAATGGTACACTGTTTGTTCCATTTATCTCCCCCCGAGTGTCCCGCTTTCTCTTCCTGATTTGAAACACCTCCTAGACTCCTTGCCGGAGCCTGTGCTCCTGCTGGGTGACTTCAATTGTCGTCATTCTCTTTGGGGTGACATTCTGAAGAATACCCGGGGTCGCCTTCTTGAGCCGTTTCTCCTCTCTTCTTCCCTGTCTCTTCTGAATTCTGGTGAGCCCACTCATTTGGACTCTCGGACTCGCACCCCTTTCTTGTCTTGATCTTTCTCTCTGCTCTTCTTCTCTTTACTTAGATTTCACGTGGCAGGTTCTTGATGACCTCCATGGAAGTGATCATTTCCCCATCCTTGTTTCCTTTTTCTCTTTTCGCCCTTCTCTCTCTTTCCCTAGGTGGCAGTTTGCTAAGGCGGACTGGACCCTATTTTCCCTCAGTGCTACTCTCTCTGACCTCTCCCTTCCGCCTCTCTCTCGCGCTCTCCTCCTTTTTCATGACACTGTCTTCAACACTGCCCTCCGCTCTATCCCTCGCTCTTCCTCCCGGGGTCCACGGAAGTGCGTTCCCTGGTGGAATGCAGACTGTGCTCGGGCTGTCCGCTGTAAGCGTGCAGCCTGGAAGAGGCACCGCCGTCGGCAGACGACCGATTCTTTTCTTTTCTTTCGGATAGTGAGTGCGGTGGCCCGTAGGGCCATCCGTACGGCTCAACGTGAATGTTGGGCATCTTATATCTCAACAATTACGTCCGAAACCCCTCTGGCCCAGATCTGGAAGCGTATCCGCAAGATATCGGGTAAGTTCGTTCCCGATGTTTCACCGGTCCTTCACCTCCATGATACTCTTGTGGCGGACCCGTTGCAGGTCGCTTCCGAACTGGGTTCCCACTTTTCTTCTGTTAGCTCTGGTCTTCATCTTCCCCAGTCTTTCCTTCTTCGTAAACCTGTCCTTGAGTCTCGTCCTTTAGATTTCTGCACTCATCTTCAGCTTTCCTATAATGATCCCTTCTCTCTCTCTGAACTTCGTTCTGCCCTGGCCCTCTGCGGTTCTACGGCGGCGGGCTCCGATGGTATTCATTATGAGATGCTTCGCCATCTCCCTCCGAGCACGTCTCAGTATTTACTGAGTCTGTATAATCGGATCTGGGAGTCGTCGTCAGTCCCTGAGGACTGGCTCGATGCCGTTGTCCTCCCTGTTCGCAAACCAGGGTCTCTGGGTACTTCCCCTAAGGACTTTCGCCCTATTGCTCTCACAAGTTGTGTCTGCAAACTCTTTGAACGTATGGTTAACGTTCGTCTGATGTGGTTCCTGGAACACCATCACCTCCTCTCCCCTTCTCAATTTGGTTTCCGCAAGTGCCGCAGCACGACAGATGTCCTGGTGAACTTGGAGGTCTATATTCGTGCTGCTTTTGCTGCGAAGACCTCCGTTGTTGCCGTCCTTTTTGACCTGGAAAAGGCTTACGACACCACTTGGCGTTATCATATCCTATCTCAACTTCATTCTTTTGGCCTTCGTGGTCATCTCCCTCTCTTTCTCCGCAGCTTCCTCTCTCGTCGTTCCTTTCGGGTGCGCCTTGGTACCGCTCTCTCTCCCTCTTTTCAGCAATACGAAGGTGTGCCCCAGGGTAGTGTTCTGAGCACTACTCTTTTTCTGGTTGCCCTCAATGGTCTTCTTTCCTCTCTTCCTTCTGGTGTCTTCTCCGCTCTCTACGTCGATGATCTTACCCTTTGTTGTCAGGGTGATGATTCGCCTCTCCTTCAACGCCGGCTTCAACTTACAATTGATGCCGTGTCGTCTTGGGCCACAGATCATGGCTTCAAGTTCTCTACTTCTAAGACTTGTGCTATGACGTTTACGCGGAAACGGGTTGTTCTTCGTCCCTCTTTGTCCCTTTATGGTCATCCCCTTGAATACAAAGATTCCGCGAAGCTTTTGGGGTTATTCCTTGACACTCGTTTGTCTTGGTCTCCCCATATCTCTTACCTCCGTGTTGAGTGCTCTAAGGCCCTTACCCTCCTTCGGGTCTTGTCCCATACTTCTTGGATGGCAGATAGGCGCACTCACCTTGCTTTACATTCCTCTCTCGTCCTGTCTAAGCTCGATTATGGTTGCCCTGCTTACTCGTCTGCTTCTCCTTCTACTCTTCGCCGTCTTGATGCTTTGCACCATACTGGGTTGCGCCTCAGTTCTGGTGCCTTTCGTTCGACTCCCATCCTTAGCTTGTATGTTGACACTGGCTTCCTGTCTCTCCAGGACCGCCGTGATCGCTACTGTCTTCGCTATCTTGCGCGGTCCTTGCAACATCCTTCCTCTCGCCTCTGTCGTGCTTTAACTTTTACCCCTCCTGCGGTTCCTGTTCCTCTTCACCACCTCCCTCTTTCTGTCCGGTTATCTCGCCTACAAGATTCTCTTTTCGTTCGTATTTCTGATGTTTCTCCTCGTGTTGTTCCTTCTTTGCCCCCGTGGAGGGTCCCTCTTCCGCGGTTTTGTACATCCTTGACCCGTATCACTAAAGCTTTTACCCCTCCTACGGTTCTAAAACGCCTTTTCCTCGAGCACTTTTCTTCTCACTCCCGCTCCGTTTCTGTCTTCACTGATGGGTCTAAGTCAGCGGACGGTGTTGGCTACTCTGTTGTTTTACCTGATCGCACTTATATGTGTCGCTTGCCTCCGGAGACTAGCATCTTTACAGCGGAACTTTATGCTATTCTCTATGCTTTTCGTCTCCTGCTTTCTCGTTGTCAGTCTTCCTTTGTAGTTGTTGTTGACTCTCGTAGTGCCCTCATGGCTCTCGGGCCCTTTAATCCGGTTCATCCAGTAGTTGTCGAGATCCAGCATTGGCTGTTTCTCGTTCACAGTAAATTTAAGTCGGTTGAGTTTTGTTGGGTTCCCAGCCATATTGGTGTGTCTTTAAATGAGCGTGCGGATGCTGCCGCCAAGGAAGCTGTCCGCTCTTGTCCCATCTCTCGAAAAGGCATTCCGTATTCCGACTTTTACCCGGTTGTCCATTCCTCAGTCCATAACCGTTGGCAGGCTTCTTGGTTGTCTGTTACTGGTAACAAGCTACGTACTCTTAAATGTTGTGTTTCCTCGTGGCCGTCCTCCTTCCACCGTAACTGGCGGTGGGAAACAGCTCTGGTGAGGTTGCGTATTGGCCATACTCGCTTAACCCATCGTCACTTGATGGAGCGCCGCCCTGCTCCTTATTGTCCTAGTTGCATTGTCCCTCTTACGGTCGTGCATGTCCTTCTTGAATGTCCTGACTTCCAGGACGAGCGTGTGTCTTGCTTTCCGACCGCCCCTCGCGGTCGCCTGTCCCTCGATAGAATTCTTGGTGACTCGGATACTTTTGATATCGTTCGCCTTATGCGTTTTTGTTCTCGTATTGGCATCCTTGGTGATATTTAGCGCCCTCTGATTATTTTGCGTATTTGATGGTGCTACATAGCCTTCCCGGTTTGGTGCCTTCTTTTGATAATTACTTACTTACTTCCCGTATGACCCCATACAACCGGAAATCCGGTTGTATCACTTTTTCCAGGACAGTGATGGTACGGTGGTAGACGATGCGTCTGGCAATGCCTAGTCACGGGTTCGCGTCGCCTGACAGCCCTAGAGGTGGATTTTCCCATTGATATATATATGTTAGTGTGTATTACTTCTATTACTAATTTTATAATATATATATATATATATATATATATATATATATATATATATATATATATATATATATATATATATATATATATATATGTCGTACCTAGTAGCCAGAACGCACTTCTCAGCCTACTATGCAAGGCCCGATTTGCCTAATAAGCAAAGTTTTCCTGAATTAATTGTTTTTCGACTACCTAACCTACCTAACCTAACCTAACCTAACTTTTTCGGCTACCTAACCTAACCTAACCTCTAAAGATGGGTTAGGTTAGGTTAGGTAGGGTTGGTTAGGTTCGGTCATATATCTACGTTAATTTTAACTCCAATAAAAGAAAATTGACCTCATACATAATGAAATGGGTAGCTTTATCATTTCATAAGAAAAAAATTAGAGAAAATATATTAATTCAGGAAAACTTGGCTTATTAGGCAAATCGGGCCTTGCACAGTAGGCTGAGAAGTGCGTTCTGGCTACTAGGTACGACATATATATATATATATATATATATATATATATATATATATACACATATATATATATACATACATTGTGTCTTTATACAATATATATATCATATTTTTATTTCTTAGCTAAATATAGGCACTATATGCCTATAACGTCATTTTTTATTTATATTGCTACAAACCTATTAAATGTAACCATCAATAACATGATTTGCTAAATTGTTTCTAAATTAAATTTCTGATTCTGATTGATAATGGTACTGATTACTTGCTGTAATGTTATTGTGGCTCTCAAACACTCGAACCTCGAGCAAACAGACAAATAAAGAAATAAACTCGCATTCTCTCATAGTAATATAGATAATAGATGGGGTACCCAGGTAAGTTCCCTGGTCACCCCGCACCTACCTCAACTGTCTCCTCACCCGCCCCTCTTCTCCTCCCCACCCTCCCTTACCCTAGTCTCCGCACTTCTACCTCATACTCTATCACAAACCCTATCATACCTAATCTTTTCCCACCAACCTCCTTTTGCAAACAACACCTTCACTTGTCTCTCTCTCTCTTCAAGCAGCCCCTCCTTCCTCTCTCCAACTAAGCGACCCATTTCTACCTCACAACCTTGGTCGCCCTTTCGTACCCCATCCCACCATCCTCTCCACCCACTACCTCCCTCCCCACCTCCCCAACTACCTATCCACCAAATTATTCACCTCCCCTCCAACCAATCCACACACCAACACCTATCTTCCCTCTATCATCTGCAGCGGGAGTACTGGAACCTCGAACTGCAGATCACAAGGGGAGCAGCCTGCAGTTCTAACAATCAAGCTACGAGCACACACAATAATGGAGGATCCCAGAGACAAGCAACTAGTATCCATCTGTAACTTTTGGCCTTCCTTTTAGCCTTAGGCCTACTGGTACCTCCCTGGGGTGATAGTTGAGTAGGAGACATTAGGTGATCCTCATTCTAGTCATATAAAGTGCAATCCACGAGACCGTAGATAACAATATTTCTTTCACTTGGACCGTATAGCTTATACATAACTATTACTACTATTATTCAAACTATTATTACTTTGTTCTCCTATTGTCACAGCGCTCGTTATAGAATCACTTAACCCTTCACTGCCCGGGAAACACATATCTATAATGCCTTTACTTTGGACACGGCTTCAGGCATCTTTCTTAGTATGACAACAAAATGAGACTTCCACGGTAGATGTTCACTCGACTGTTATATTCTCAGCTTCTTATTGGTTAGTCGTTTCAAAGAGAGCTTAAACAGGGGTTGTCTTTGAGGAATTTTACTTTTTCCTTTGCTGTTGTTGATGTTGTTGTTTCAGATTCCGCTACTCAGAAAAATAAAAACACATAGCACAGACTATGGTGAGCCCGTAACTCCTTCGCTGATCTCAGCTTACTTTATAGAATGCAAATAATTTATTTTATATCTTCGAGTTCCTTACTGAAATCCCATCATACACAGGTAATAATATCATTAAATGATTCGATCTGTTCCTCCACTCCACTTGTGTTCTGTTGTCCCTCTTTCTTGCTTGCTCCCTTGTCTACTTCATTGGGTTAGGGTTATAAAATGCGAGACAAAGAAAAGAGAGGGTTTGTGAGAGAGAAAAGGGGGGCTTGGATTGGGGCTATGGGGGCGCGGGGGGGGGGGGGGAGGCATGTATATGTGTTTATGAAAGTGGAAAAGTGAAAGAGGTTTTGAAGTTGGGTGAAGAGTTAGTATTTGTAGGGTGGGCGATGTGGAAATGGTTACTAAAGTTGTATTCGTTACAAAATCACTCACATAAAACTGTTCATTCGCGCAGATATGGTTGCAGGGTCGAGGGATGTGGCTCCTAACCCCACCTTTAAATCTTTCTTAGATAAAGTTATAACAAGTCCCACGCTCGTATCATTTTGATATGAGATAACCAAAAATCTCCTTGAAGCAGCTTTCACGGCTTCTACGCAATTCGTATTCCAGGTACTGATGGCGTTATGTGTCACGTTCTACTGTTTAAAGCTTTCAACAATGCTACCCTGACTACTTCATTAATTTACCTCAGAATCTTATGTGTTGTTACATATCCTCCCCCCCCCCACTTCTGTCCTCTTCTTTTCTCAGTCTAGGAACGAGCCTCGTTTCATGTTACTGGACAGTGTCTTTTTTTTAAGACTAGGCCTCACCTTAAATTACTATAGTTCTGGAATGCTTCTTATTATATGTGTGTGTGTGGGTTGGCGTTTTTGAGTGTATGCTATATGAATATTTGCAATAATTTGCACACGAACTCAATTTTCCCCACATTAAGGTGTTTCTTACGTGAAGTTGAGCTTGGCAGCGAAGGTGTTGATGAGCCGGGCGTCCAGGCAGTCCTTCAACACAACAGGTGTTCCCGGGGTCTCCCTGACGCGCTGGTAATCTATGTATGGTAACACTACCGTTGCTGTTACTACCCTCATCTTGTGGCACTTCATATCCTCAAAATTTTCTGAAAAGGTAAATTTCATGTTGTTATGAATTTATTCTTGAAAGGAATTTTTGTTAATACTTCTTCCGGAGGTTTTGAAACCCATCGCTCCTGCTTAGTCTCACAGTCTCATCTTTGTTCTTCGTGCACTGATTTGTTTACCAGCTGTACTTCTTACACAGGAGTGTTTAACAGCTGTCCTTCCTTCCAAGAGGTGCTTAACAGCTGTCTTTCCTACACATTTGTGTTTAACAGCTGTCCTTCCTTCCAAGTGGTGCTTAACAGCTGTCTTTCCTACACATTTGTGTTTAACAGCTGTACTTCCTGCACAGCTGCTGTTTTTAACAACTGGACTTCCTACCCAGCTGTGTTTAACAGCTGTACTTCCTACCTATCTGTGTTTAACAACAGTCCTTTCTACTCAGCTGTGGTTTAACAGCTGTCCTTCCGACCCAGCTGTGTTTAACAGCTGCCCTTCCTACATCGGTATATTTAATAACTGTTTTATGTTTAAACTCAGTTTTTTAACTCTGTTTAATAACTGGTTTAATCTTTAAACTCTGTCCTTCATTCGCAGGTGTCTTTGAACTCTCATTCTATGCAAGTGTGCAAACCTTTTTCGATCTACTCAGGCTTGGTAAACGTTTTGCTAAACATTTGATCTACTTACACTTGCGTGCTTCACCTGTTTTTCTACACAGGTGTGCTTCATCTCTGTTCTTCTTACACAGGTTTCTTTATCATCTGTCCTTCATTAATGGATGTGTCTAACCTGTTCTACCTACACAAGTGTCGTCGGAACTCTATCCCAACCTCCTGGGCTCGCTTACCCCCGGTCATCCTACACAGTTATGCTCTATATATATATAGTCATCCAACGCTGGAGTGCTTCAACTGTTCTTCCTCAGCATGTGCGATTGTTTTCTGTTATTTGCAAGTGTGCATAACATCTGTACTTCGTACACATGCGTGTTTCCCCTTCCTTCACAGGTGTGTGTGTCTCTAGTTCTGCCAACAAATGCGAAGAAAAATGTTCCTCTGTCCATTACACAAAAACATTACAAACATGTGTGTTTCTCATGTAACCTTCTTCAAGGGTGTATCTTGCATTTGTAATTCAAACGGCGTTGTGTTTAACCTTTGTCAACCCAACACGTGTATTTCTAAACGATGTTGTTATACATATACACATCACTGCGTCTTTCTTACAGAGATGTGCATCACTTGACCTTTCTACATTTAACATTCATATTGCTTCAAGCCTAATGTGTGTTTAACATCTACCTTTCCCGCGTATGTGTTTTTAAGCTCCATCCCTCCTACACATGAGTCTTTAGTGTGTTCCTTCATTGGGGTGATTCATCTCGCTCCTTTCTACAAAGACGTGTTTCTGTCCTACATTCATAGGCGTATTTAGCCTCTGTTCTTCCTACTCACTAGTCTTTAAAACTCTGTTCTTTCAATATAATTGTGCTTCATCTTTTTCTTCCTAAACGGATGTGTTTTACAAATATCTAACTAATTCAGGTGTATGCATCTGTTGTCCTTGTGAATGTTTAACTCTCCTCCCCCTTTATGTATGTTTAAAATTTCTTCCCCGATTTTGGAAGTTTAAACTCGCTTCACCCTTCCTGGATGTTTTAACCCGCTTTCCCCTCCATGGATGTTTTAACTCGCTTTTCCATTCTTGGATGTTTAAACACGCTTCCCCCCTTCATGGATGTTTAAACTCGCTTCTCCCCCTTCCGGGGAGAAGCGAGTTTAGAACTATCTTCCGGGGTGTTTAAACTTGCTTCTCCCTTTGTGGATGTTTAAACCCACTTCACCCTTCCTGGATGTTTTAACTCGCTTTCCCCTTCATGGATGTTTAAACTCGCTTCTCTCATCATGGATGTCTGAACTCTGCTGTTCTTTCTCTGGTCTTCCTACTATCCTTTCTACATTGGTTTCGATCCTCTGTTCTTCCGGATTTAGTGGGCTTTACTTATATCCTTCCGACACAGGTGTGCTTTACATCTGTACTTTGTATACATGTGTGTTCTCCATCCACATGTGTCCTTCATAGGTTAGATGACTTTATAGGTGAGCTACAATTCTGCCCTTTTTTACACTTGTGTACGTCACATCAGACCTTCATGCACAGGTTTTTAACATATGTTCTTTTTAAAAAAAAATTATTTAAAAAAACACATTCTTGTTCATACTTATTTAACTTCTGTCATTCATACACAGTTTTTGCTTAGTCTCAGTCCTTGCTGAAGAGGTGTGCTTCACCCTTGTTCTATATATACACAGGTGTAACATAGTTGTTAATTTGTACTAATTAAAAGATATATATATATATATATATATATATATATATATATATATATATATATATATATATATATATATATATATATGTATATGTCGTACCTAGTAGCCAGAACGCACTTTTCAGCCTACAATGCAAGGCCCAATTTGCCTAATAAGCCAAGTTTTCATGAATTAATTGTTTTTCGACTACCTAACCTACCTAACCTAACCTAACTTTTTCGGCTACCTAACCTAACCTAACCTATAAAGATAGGTTAGGTTAGGTTAGGTAGGGTTGGTTAGGTTCGGTCATATATCTACGTTAATTTTAACTCCAATAAAAAAAAATTGACCTCATACATAATGAAATGGGTAGCTTTATCCTTTCATAAGAAAAAAATTTGAGAAAATATATTAATTCAGGAAAACTTGGCTTATTAGGCAAATCGGGCCTTGCATAGTAGGACGAGAAGTGCGTTCTGGCTACTAGGTACGACATATATATATATATGCATATATATACATATATATATATATATATATATATATATATATATATATATATATATATATATAATATATATATATATATATATATATATATATATATATATATATATATATATATAATATAATACAATATTCAAATATTATAACTTGAAATTCATGCATACATATGATGATAGACATAAAAATTTATTGTAAAACATTTTGAGGTAACCTTGGAAGAGATGGTCCATGGGACGAGGGAGGGAGGAGAGGCGCCAGTGGTGGACCAGCAGGACGCCAGCCTCGCCGGTGTTGCAGTAGAGACACCGCCGGTACACCCATACTTCATCTCCAGCTGATGAGGCTGCCCAAGAAGATAAAACACACACACACATTATCTAACTTATGTTTACAACTGTGTAAATGTGTTGTAAATGTGTTGTAAATGTAAGTTAGATAATAACTTACAAACCTCAAACACACACACACTTGAGGAATCGAGTGGTGGAGGGATCAATGAATTAGCCATTCTACCTTCCGTACCTGGTAGAGGGATGAGAATAATGAGAACCTCTGGCACTACAGTGTACCGAAACTTCTAATTGAGATGTACGAGTGTTTGGTTCGGTCGGCATCACTTTTTCCATTCAAGCTGATTTTTAAATGAGAGTCATACTGTATGCAACTATGCACGCAATACTCTCGCATCATGATATAATGGTGCCATGCGTAGATAAAATTTAGCCGTGTGGGAACCGACCTGTGAGATTTATATTTATTTTATTTATATGAATTTATATTTACGTTAATTTATATACTTCGATAGCAATTTGTATAATGATAAGTGAACTGTATTTCTGCAATAATCTCATAATCTCACAAATCGATCCTCTACACATTGGGGGGGGGGGTTTATTAAATTTATATATATGCAGCCAATCAAACTACAGTATTAACTACATACATTGAAAAGGTTCCTTATCTTATAGTACAGCAGGTTAGTCCACCAGGTATAACTAGGGTGTAGACCACATTTTCCCTCTTTGAGGTAGCTTCCATCACCCTGGTAACTGATGTACAAAGCATGCTTCCTCGTCTTGACCTGTCAAAAGGGCACTAGCTGTAAAGCCAGATTCCTATACATGACAGGTATATCAGAGAAAATACTGTACATGGAACAATGAAGACCTGGCTTAATTACCTTTAGTTTGAGGCTATCTCGTGCTCTAACCGGCTAACCCTACCCAATGACATTAATGGCCACTAATGATAGATAATGGGTTTCGGAAAGAACACTTAACTTGATTTGATGACAGCGTGTTGATAATGGTACACCTTTGGTTTCCATAACACTACGTCCAAGTAAAATTAACAGGAGCCGTATTTGCTCCCTTGTGCCTCTGGTCTAGTATAAACAATGGCTGCCCTCCCTCACCCTGACGCCTAGCTTACATTGTCCAGATGTCAATAAGTGATAGAAGGGTCACATTTACTCTACTTTAATACTGATAATTAAGTTAATTTATATAAGATGTTTTTATGATGGTAAAGTCCAAAGACTAATGTATTTAAGAATAATTCCCACCAGAATAGGTGGAGAATTTAATAGTATGTGGTGATGATATCCCGTTTTCTATAGACGGTAATTCCACTACAAGTTACGTTTTCTATGGGTTAACTTGTTTATACAATACAGCTATTATCTGTATGATTATAAAATGGTGTCGGATTTTCCGACATAATTCCCCAGGGGCTGCTCACGGGTCGAAGTCCTATTTAGATCAGACGAACACCGATACTCCTCCTTCGAATTATTAGATTAATTTGATGTTAGTAGTTAGTAATCACACATTTGTGCGTCTGCTCGTACAGGACAGATGTCCCATACTAGAGTTGCAGGGGTTAGAAGTCTAATGCGATTTCATTTCCCTGTCAACTCTTGAAAGGCTAATATTCAAGCCTAATTACATATTATTTAACCCAGAAGACTGAATGTGATCAAGTACTACAGTCAAGTATGATTCAGGGACTGCAGTGAGATCAGTGACATTAGATATAACTTGAAGTTTGTTCAGGTAACTGGTCACTGATATATAAACACTGAGGCCCATGGAATACATCTTGATTAAATAATAAATGTATCAAATCAGTCATCAGATTTATTGGGGTTTAATTTAGTTAATTGATTCAGAAGATTGAATAGCTCATCATTAAAGTAAAGTATGGTTCTGAGACTGCAGTGGGATCAGTGACATTGGTCGCAGTGACTTGTAGCTGTTTTTAGCTACTATTCACTGATTTGCCACTGAGGCCTCATGAACTCATCTTCAGCTTTAAATGATGATACTAACATCAACTTCTGTTACTATAGTCAGCTGTAATCTCCTTAGTATAATGCTACTGGAGAAATATAATCAGCTGACAAATTCAGATTTCTATTGGTATTGTTTATCTGCAGGCATAGGTCTCCTCAGGCTTGACACTGGGCCTGAGAGTAATTTACCTCCTGCAGAGTTTAACATGGTTATGCCCTGATATTTAGTAGGGCTACCGATGAATCGATGACAATAGTCTGTCCCTACAAGGAGACCAAAGTCGGTGAGGTGATCAGACTTAATATTATCTGCCAATTTTATTCCTCTATTTCTCAGGAATTTGGCTGTTGCTCTCAGACCTTGAACTTGTAGGTCTACTGGTATTTTGTCCACCACAATGGCTTGTACTCGACAGACGTACCTGCCTAAACGTACTGATGGTTGTACCACCTGGTAGACTTGAGGTCCTGCATCTGTTACAAACCCTGAGATGTTGAATGACATCTGGGCTACAGGCCTTAATTGTAATTCATCTGCCAGATTTTTAGTGATATATGTTCTCTGGGATCCTTGGTCAAACAACCCACGGGTATGGACCTTGGCCCTCTTATTCAGGATGGTAATTTGGGCAGTAGGCAAAGTCGTATTACCTTTAGACTTTGCCGATTGGACACTCTTTGTTTGTTGCACCTTGCAGAACTGTACTGTGGTGGGAATGCTATCTTCCACCTTGGGTGTTGAATACGTTAATTTCGTATATTTGCACAGTGCTGCATGGTGCCTACCTCTTCTACACCTGTTACAGGTGTTGAATTGGGTATCACAATAGTCTATGTTGTGTGACTTGAGACACCTTGCACATCTCCCTAATTCCTGGAGTCGCTCCATACGAATGTCTCTGGTTGGATAATTAGCACAACAGTATGTTGAATGTTTCTTTTTGCAGAACATACATGTCCCCCAGCCTACTGCACGTTTGGAAGTTACCGGTTTGGGTGAACTAGTAACAGTAGGCTTGGAGGATGCTGCTGCAATGTCAGATTTTCTGCAACTTGATGTTTGAGTAATTGGTTGATGTTTATTTGGGGTAGTTGTTTTACCCTTTAATTGACTATTATTTTCTATTTCTGAAGGCTTGTAAGAGGCTTTAACTTCCTCATTTGCTCGTCGTTTGTTTATGATGGAATGTAAACCTTCAGTGATGTCCTGTACTGTCAGGATGGTGTTATGTTGATGTGCATATAATTCATCTAGTATATCGCTGGACAATTTTCGTTGAAGGACTACTTTGGTCATCCATTCACTAGTAGTTATATCAACCTTAAGACTGAATATTCTTAGTAGTGACTCAAACTCCATGCTGAAGGATTGTAATGAGTCAGCAGTCTGATCAGGTTGAGGTAAATCCAGCAATTGTAGTACTAGATGTATGACAGTTTTCTCATTGCCAGCATTATCCATACTAGCTAGTTGGTGAAGCCTTGTGGGACTTGTACTTGGGCTGCTCATAATACTGAACAAGCACTGATGGTAGCCTAGGGTCAAATTCTGCACTCACTAGGCAATAATCCTACCTCTACTAGAGGTTAGCACTTAAAATTAATACACATTATATATATACACAATCATACACACTAATGATTTGAGTGATAAACCAGTGTCACTGGAAGTACCTTTAGGTTAGCTCTTCTATATCACCCTAGGATGGTAGAGACACTAATTAATCACTCAAAGGTGTAATGATCATAAGTAAATTATTATATATACACAACTCAACTCGAGTTGATAAAAATTACACCCAAAATAGGGTCTGGACCATTCATTAATGGTGTTAGGTTGTTCAATATAGTACAACTGACTATGGTAATAATGGGACTAGGATGAGCAATAATAGTTCAACTAGTCAATGGTTAATATCCTACCCTGTTGTGGGTTGGCAATTAGTAAATATTATACTGTGATCACTAGTGCAATATATTAAATAATTCTCTATTTTGGAGAAATAATATACACAATTATTGATAATAGCCTCTTAATTAGCCTCTATGAAACTTCTAATATTATCTAGAAGTATTAAATATTATTAGTGACCTCGCGAAATAAACTCCACAAAATTTGTAGATAATCTCTCACGAAATTTAACACCACGAAATCCGTGAACAATCTCGCGACACAGTCACTAATTTGGCTGGCTTCTATATTAGCGCTGTCATTTCACAGAATAACACGCCACCAAATATCTGTGGGTGTGCATGAAACCGCTGACGAAGCTTATCTGAACTGAGGGAGGCTCCTGAGCTCCCTCGAGGCTACTCTGCCGTCTTTGACTGCTGGCTTTGTTTAAATCACACTGCACTAGTTTATTTAATGAATCCACTGTTTAACTGGTTCATCCGGTACTAAGATGACCAAATGTGGGTTCAAAGGATCAAATGATCCGTCATCCGGTTCGAAGATGACCAAATAATGTGGGAACCGACCTGTGAGATTTATATTTATTTAATTTATATGAATTTATATTTACGTTAATTTATATACTTCGATAGCAATTTGTATAATGATAAGTGGAATGTATTTCTGCAATAATCTCTTAATCTCACAAATCGATCCTCTACACATTAGGGGGGGGGGGGGTTATTAAATTTATATATATGCAGCCAATCAAACTACAGTATTAACTACATACATTGAAAAGGTTCCTTATCTTATAGTACAGCAGGTTAGTCCACCAGGTATAACTAGGGTGTAGACCACATTTTCCCTCTTTGAGGTAGCTTCCATCACCCTGGTAACTGATGTACAAAGCATGCTTCCTCGTCTTGACCTGTCAAAAGGGCGCTAGCTGTAAAGCCAGATTCCTATACATGACAGGTATATCAGAGAAAATACTGTACATGGAACAATGAAGACCTGGCTTAATTACCTTTAGTTTGAGGCTATCTCGTGCTCTAACCGGCTAACCCTACCCAATGACATTAATGGCCACTAATGATAGATAATGGGTTTCGGAAAGAACACTTAACTTGATTTGATGACAGCGTGTTGATAA